AGGATACGAAGTTGTATAACTTGACTGTAACACCAGTCTTATATTTATTCGTTCTTCGTGTTCATTTAATAGTTACTTTGCATTTGATTTGATTTATTTATTCTATAAGGGCACGTTTCGCATCGATTATTGCACCTTTTAGTCCGTTCTTGCCTGTTAACAATCACGGCTTCGTTTTACACTTGTTATAGACGTTGCTAATTTGCTAGCCAATTTACACTGTACTCGTTCTATTTTTATGTACGCGTTATAAACGTTGCATTTGAGTTGATTTATTTATTCTATAAGAGCACGTAATCTGTTTCGCATCGATTATTGCACCTTTTAGTCCCTTCTTGCTTGTTAACAATCACGGCTTCGTTTTACATTTGTTATAGACGTTGCTAATTTGCTATCCAATTTACACTGTACTTGTTCTATTTTTTATGTACGCGTTATAAGCTTTTTAACAAAAACAGTTATAGTTTGTAGCTACTTGCACTGTTCTCATTCTAGGCGTTTTGACACTATTGATTTTTCCATTTAGAACATTTCTATCTTATTTATGTAATTTTCAATTTTCTATTATTTTTACCACGATTATTGTTCGTCGACATATTATAAAACATAGTCTTTTATGTTATAATACTTATTTTGCCAGTCTTTCTTTGTACTTTAATACCTTAAGAATGTTCCCTTCTCTAAGCCCGTTTCTTTCTCTATCTCATACATTTCCTTACTTTGCATTTGCATTTGCTTACATACGTGTCTTCATAATTCTATGACATCCCCATATGCCACTAGTCTGTTGGGGTTCACTGGCTTCCCCCATAACTCGGGACTGCTAAACCTGTACCGTAGCTACGATCAAACAAAGCTACAGTCCCTGAAGTTGTAATGAAGCCATTCTTGGGCCAATAGTAAAACTCTTTATCTGTAATTCTACGAATAAACTCCCTCGTCTTATTTTCATGTTTAGGGGCCAGTCTGCAACTTTAGATCGAAAATTAGGATATTTTTCTTGTTGTGTTCACAGAGAGGAATCGAATCGTTAGACTGTAATGGAAACTTTTAAGCATATACTGCTCGTTTAACAGGTTGAGTGGCATGTGAGCAAGTGAGTTTTATTCACAAGGGTGCAAAGCTATGTAACTTGACTTTAACACCTAATATATCAGTCTTCGTTTAATTTAATTCATCTTAATTTAATTCCTTTAATTCTTGCTTTACGTTGTCTTAGAAAACTCTCTTCATAATTCTCCCACTAGGGATACCTCGGGATTGTTAAACCTGTGCTATAGTTACAATTGATTTGAGTGCTATGGCGGATACCGATGTCCACTACCATACTTTCCTAGTAGCCCGCGACGGAAACCGGCGTCCGCTCTGAATCTAACGTTCAATTTAGTAATTTTTAAATAACAATTATCCAAACAATCGCATAGAACTAGTTTCTAGAGTATCTTCTAAAATAACAAAAGACACGAACTACTGCAATAAACCATCCGATTTAATACAATATTATATTAATTTTGGCATAGACATATAAAGATATCTTCATATGTCTATGAATTTTGGATAACGTACAGCTTGTAAGTTGTTTCTTATATCATCGCTGAATCTTAGTCTCGGCAAACGGGACAAGAATACAAAATACGGCTTGACACTCAACCTGTTAAAGTAGTTTAATGAAATATTTTACGCTTCTATGATTAGCATTTTATCCGTGTAACGTCTTTGTTGCAAAATTAGGGAAGGTAATAATAAAAGGAAGAAGGTTTAAATTGACATAATGGCAGTTCCATCAATTAATAAAAGTGTATTTATTTCAATTGTAATACAAAATACTATGGACGATAGTGAATTTAAACTTATTAGAATCTCAGGTAATTTGAAATTTTCCTTTTTCCAAATAGTTTATGCAAAACAATTATATTACACGTTACAAATATATTATTCCTGCTCTTATTTTCTATCACAAACTGATCAATAATTTAAACACTAAAATTAATAATTGAAAACCTTGTTCTGTTCATACAGAACATCGCTCCGACATCTAATCGTATCGAAAGCAATCTTCTTTGAGAAATCCTAACCTAACAAACCTTGATATTTCACAAGACCAAATGTACACAAGGTAGATTAATCTAGCCCCACTTTTCGTCATATTCCTAGTGCTTGAAAAATATCTGAAATCATACGTCTGACGATTTTCGAAAGAATGCGCTATCAGAATTCATCTGCCGTTCTCACACAATGGAATCGTACTTTGTCGAGTCATTATGGAAGCGACACGAATACGAAAGAGCTCCATACATTACGGTAGACAAGCGTTAGCAATATGTCCGAGAGGAGTGTTTCGCCATACGGTCCTCGGTACGATTCACGCCCTCGCATTAGTTCCTGTGCAGCTATCGATTTAAGCTTCGCCATTTTCCTTCGAGACCTACGTCTTCTTTTACTCGACCGTCCCGTTACTATTCGACAAAATTCCGATTTGATTTTATAAATCAATCTTTCTATCGATCGTTTCTTCAGCAAACCGCATCTCTAACATATCAGAATCGTAGTTTAACCTGTGATACTTGCAATATTTAACGACGTTATAGGTTGGGTAACGATGCTCATATGCCTCGTATGTTCAAGGAAGTTTACACGCAATTATTACATTTATTTGTATTTCGATTCTCTGTCCATTCTGTATTTTCTATGTTATCGCCGAAGCGTCTTTACCCACGTAATAATCGTGATAATGCGAAGCAAGGAGGATACAAGGAGACCAGCTTTTATATAAAATTAGTTCTTTAATGTTACGTTTGTACACTAAATAATCAGTGGAATTATTACAACAACTGTTCATTACAATGGATAATTAAGAAGCACATCTTGTCTCGCCAACTCGAGCAACATAGGATCGTCGAAGAATTTGTTGATGGATACGTCTTCCGATAAGCCTTTCCGCCTTCGTGTTTTCAGCATGAACTCTCTGGCCAAGTGTGTGGCCGGTTGTGGCTCGAGCGGTCGAATCGTGATACTCTTGTCCAACGGATCACCGGGAACGATCTGCCAATGGTGGAACACGGACAAGCAGAACGCCTGACCTTGCGTGTGTGTTCGCAAGTCGGTCTCGAACCCGAAGCTATCGATCGCTGGTATAAATGCTTTAATAGTGTACAACGGGCTTCCGGGAACGGGGGCGTCTTGGGTCACGTGGCCTCTTCTCTTGGCCAATACCGTGTACACGGCCGACACACAATCTGCCGGTGCTTGGACTTCGACGAACAAATAAGGTTCCATCAACCTCGGTGTCGCCATGAGGAAAGCAGAGTAGGCTACTCTTCTCGCTGTCGGAATAATTTGCCCACCTACAAAGGAGTCGAGTTAATTTCGTTTACGTTTTCGAGCAACGAAACTTATCCAGGGATAAACAAAACTCTTATTTAGATAGAATTTAACACATTCACGTAGAAGAAAACATTTTATCCGGCACTCGTTGAATACAAATTAGAATTTATTAATAGATACCAATTTTATCACCAATTTTATCGTGCAAACGAAGAAATCATTGTGTTAGTTTTATTCGTGTTCAAATGAAATTTTTTCTATCGCTTATTTTACTGACCTCCCCGATGAAGAGGTTCTTGGGCAATGACTGCGTCTAGGATCTTGAACTTCACGTTACGAATCGGTTCCTCGCAGAGGGGACCTTCGCGAGTGCCCCACTGGAAGCCTTGAATGATAGCATCTCGTGCACTGTTCAGTAACGACTTGTCTACTTCCGATGGAAGGGTGTCGTCTACTAGAATATTGGGTCCTGTGGCGTCTGGACCAAACGCCCATATGCTTCGGGCAGCCAGCAAATCCCAGTCGTACTTTGTTTGGAAGAACTCTCCCAGTCGTTTCCTGTCAAGTAGAGTTGTTCAAAGAATTAAGCAAAACTTAAGTGAGTCTGACGATATGGGCATTAATAACGTAGCATTTTTAACTAATATTAACTGTATCTCTGTAGTAACTTGCTTAAGTGCAAGTAGAGATATTTGTTAACCTATGCAGTGAACTTAAAGAGGGTAAAAACCACAGTCCTAGAGAGTAGCTTGCAGTATTGGTCCTCTCTCTTAATTTTGTTATACTCACTTGTTCCACGTAATTCGAACGTGTTCTGCCTCTATGTCTTCCGCGAGTCCTCTTTCGAGCGGCTCGGCGATCATCGTCAATTTGTTGCGCTTATTTGGCGTCTCGGCGAAGCATTTCAGCGAGCTTGTTTCCACTACTGTCTCCGCGAAAGCAACTACAGGATCCGCCACTTTAATGTCGATCTCCGAGTACATGCGACGCAAGTCGTGCATCGCGCAATCCAAGTACAATTCTCCAGTTCCCAATACCACGTGTTCACCACTTTCTTCGACTCTGGTGCCCAACAGAGGGTAACTTTTGTTCACCTTTCTCAGACCGTCCAGCATTTTTGGCAATTCCGACGGATTCACAGGCTCCACCGCGATCTTGATCACACTCTGCGTATTGAACTTCAGCGGCCGGAAGATGTGTAGGTCGTCCGAACTGTTGAGATCGGTGATCGTGCTCGTTTTAACGATCGGTCTGTCTATGCCCTCGATGAGAACCCAATTGCCGGCTGGAACTCTGTTCAGCTCTATCGAATAACGAGCCTCGCTGATCCATAATCTGCCGACGGTAAGCACACGGGAATCTTCTTCATCGGTGCGCGAATACGCCTCGCCCAATACTCGGACGCGTTGTCCTGCTTCCAAGGTACCAGACATCACCCTTCCGAGGACTACGAATAGTGTGCAATCTTCGGTAGGGTACATTTTCGTGCTGTGAATCATCAACCTTCCCTGAAAAAAATTATTCAACCGTTTGGTGCTCTGTGGAATGACACAACGCTTAAAAACTGCAAGTCAGACATGTCGAACGCGCAGGCTGCTTGACCATTTTATTATTTCTAAACTTTGTATGAATATGTATCCTGTACACATTCTTTTATTACACTCACTTGTACCTTTTTCGATAATTTTAAAAATATTTTTGAAAGTTGTAACATAATAACGATAAAATACAAATTGAACAAATTGAGTTTGACATGTCTGATATAAATAATTTCTAAAATACTAACATCAGGATCACATCTGACCATATCCTGTGCTAAAGGCGAATCCATCGGGCCTGTATACACGTGCTGAACCTTCACAGGTGCGTGCGATTGAGGACTGGGAACGTGAGCTACGCACATATCAACCAGTCCGCACATGTCTCCTAAGAAACGTGTACAAACGAGCCTCAATAGAGGTCTGATGTTCATCTTCATTTCCTCTGATGTTAATCTGATGCCTAATTCGTCTAACACTATGAAATTAGATAATAATAAATATAAGATATTTGAAGATTTCACGGGTTTGTTCTTTGTGGTTAATACCAACTGAGACCTTCGGGTGTAAACCATGTCGATAAAATTACAACTAGCTTCTTCAGAGGTCAAAAGACACGGCTTACATCCGAAAGTTTTAGTTAGTATCAACGATATACACATATATTAACAACCAAAACAACCATTTATAGCAATTATACTAACCATCGGGTAGAGTAGTATCGACGTCACCGACAACCTGCGCGAATATTTTATACAACGGCTCGAGAATAAATTCGATAAAGCTGCGCTGTGCCGTATTGTGTGGCGGTTTCTTGGTAAACTTCCGTGTTTTAGAATTGAAGTATATATCGCCCCATAATCTTTTCGCAAACTCGTTGGCGTTTAACGTGAGATGTGTCTTAGCGTAGAGTGCGGCAAAGGATTTGAGGGTGAAGCAAACGTTATACTCCGAACTGGCGAAGCAAACGTTTCCGATCGCCGGCGACACAAAGGACGGATTTTCATTGTCAGAATAGAGCGCTATCAGTCCATTGATTTCTTCGATGATGTGTCTCAATTTATAATACGCATCTAACGGTGGTAATTTCAGCTCCAAGATTAGTCGGTCTATCTTATTTATGCAAACTGTTAACGCGAGCTTTTCTTGCAGCGCATGTTTCAGTAGACGTTCCGTATTTAACATTACACCCTCAGCAGCATCTACGATTAATATTGCACCGTCGGATAAACGTATGGCTGCTGTCGCCTCGTCGGAAAAGTTTACATGACCAGGGGTATCGAATATGTTTAAAAGATAAGACTTGGATTTCACGTCTTGCAGCAACAGAGTGACGGGTGTTGCTTTTGTTGATACGCCTCGCTGTTGCTCCGTAAATAGCGTGTCTGTGTATCTGTTAACATAAACAGATTTTCGTTAAAGATTACTAGTAAAACCAAGATCTAGTTTGTTTACTGATAATTACGAGCAACTAAATTAATATTTTCAACTCCTAAGTTTATATCTCTATACAATAGATTATTTAAAATAACATTTGATAAAATACAAAAAATTGTAAAAACATTACTTTATAAATTCGTAAGATGTATAATTAAGGTGAAATACTTATTACACACCTTAGTGGTTTTTCATCTGTCACACTGTGTAGATAGGGATGAGTCTGTCTTACTAAACAATCAACTAAAGTGGTCTTGCCATGATGTAAGTGACCAAGTAAAACAACATTTCGTATCAGATGTGGTGCATCCATCATATCAGCCAGAAATTCTATACTGTATGTTGTATCTGGAAGTTGCTGTTGTTTTATTTGGAATTTGGGTTTTCTGGTCGGTGCTATTAATGGTTTGTCCAATGGCTGGGCATCTTCTTCTTGCACCAGTGTTTCAACCTATAATGTATTGCAATTGCATAAATCATAAGTACAAAAGTACTGATAAAAATATGTTTGTGAATGAGATACTTACCTCTGGTCCGTAAACTTCTAATGCACTAGGATAATATCTTTTATCTTCATGCAATACAACTGCCATAGAATTGCCTTGTTCTAATTGATCTCTAGATTCATCTTTATCCTCCTCCATCTCCTCATCTGAACGTTCTCTATCATCAATATCATCTCCAGCATTTCCATATTCGTTTTCATCTTCACTATCAGAGGCTAAATCAGGACCAATGTAATTTCCAAATTCATCATATAGATCCGCATCCATAGTGAGACTCCACTAATTTAAAAAAGACTGCAAATGTAAGAATTGTAAATATTACTTATCACAGATTCCTTTATTTTATATATAACATATTTGTTGTTTTACATTTTCTTAGAATAACTGTAAATATGATTGTTTACATACATATAACCTTAAAACTGACAAATAACCGGTCACGCGTAATGTTGCAAAAGGAGAAATTAACAACTACTTAATTCCATTAAATATAACACAATATTTATAAATTGTGATTGATAAGCCTGAGCGTTCACCAAAATTAGTACTATTTACAACAAACGTTCAAGCGATATTGTATTTATAAATGGTTTTGGTTATCATGGTTATGATATACGAAGCAATACGAACAAACTATACAATGTGCGACTCCAGGAGTGCCCTCACGTAACCATAGAGCAATACTATTATAGAAACGAACTAGAGCGTTTTTTAGGTACAATCCCAAGTGCGTATGTATAGTCGATTTATTATTACTATCAGTAATAATCAGTTGTTTTATGCAATCGGTAAATCAAGGCACATGATACGATCGGTAAAAATTAGAAACAAAATGTATGTCGATAAATGAGTTTTTTATTTTGGAAATAATCAAAATTTCGATCAGTCTTGATCGATCTGTGGACAGAAAACAAATGCAAAGAGCAATATTTCTTTCGATTATTAAGATATATATAATAGCTTCTAAATCTGATAGAATGAATCAAACATAATTTTTCATATATTCTTATCTATATGGTAAATACCAAACGCTTCTCAGCGTCTCGGTATTTGTCATCGACCATGGTTGAAAGTATTTATCATGTCTACTAGCGCTACCTACCTATCTTCAAGAAACTAAAAATGTGGATTCAAGGTATGTATATCTAACAATGAGCTTAGATCCCCTGACCAACCAGAAGACTTCTTGACAGACATATTGTTATATAAATATTCAGAATTGTTATAATTTTGAACATACAATTGAATTACAAATATTATAATTGTAATAAAATGTCACGTCTAATTCCAGATAAAATCTTCATTCAGGTATGTATAAAAATGATTGGAGCTTTACTTTCCTTCTACTTAAATATTTTGGATATTTTATATTTTTATTATTAAATTATTTAATTGTTTTTGAAATAAATTTATTATTTTAGAAAAGAAATTTAACACTATTACGAACCTTGTGGGCAAAAACAAAATCAACAAAAACCAGCAATCCATCTGCAGTGAATGATAATGTTCCAGGGCTCAGTAAAAGATGTGTTGATGTTCCAAACACACGTAAGATATGAACATATTACTATTTTGTACTTGTTTATAACAGTCGTTATTAATTTGTTTAAATTATCGCTTTTGTAAATGGATATCATTAACATTATATAAATATACTTTTAAATTAATAAGACATATTCATATTAAGATTGTTTATTCTATAGAGTTTTTAAAATTTCATTTTACAGCTGTTGGCCCTGGTGCTGCAAAGGATAAAGAATACAAAAATCCAGAATATTTTTGTTACGGAATTCATAGTTTCGGAGAAGCAGAAGTAGAGCTAGCAAAATATAGATTACCAGCACCTTCTAATAAAGTACCTTTTAATCGATAAGTAGATTTTATCTTGATATTTTTCTTTGTGAAAACTTATGTAACTAGCAATGCAACATAATTATTAGAATAAATTATCTTAAACTAAAATACATTAAATTTTTAACTGTTTGACAGAGATATAATGACAGTGATTGATCAAATTACTTAACTAGTCTGTACAAGTATTATTACATTAATTTTTAATCAAACAAATGTGTCTAATATTATATATTAAGAATTAATTTTTGGAAAAAAAAATACAACAGACTTCGAAAAACATTAAAACTGCACTAAAAAGCATGAAATAATATCTAGTTAATTTATATGAATATTCACCAGCTCTTGACGAATTTCGTTAAATACAGCATATTCATTCGGTAAATGCGTAATTAAAGAACTTTATTTGAAATTTTTGTTAAAACATTAGTAACATTTCGTGCAGCATCAACATTTGGATTTTTCATCAAAGAATCGCAAAGTGGCTTTAACACAGTAAATGCTTCCTGTATTTGATAGTGTTCCATTTTTATGTAATAGAAAAAATATACGAAACAATTAAAGATCTTAGATGACTTCAACAATGTGCATCGATGTGCATTTTATAATCTTGTCCCTACTGGTTTACAATTAATAAATGTAGTAACATTCGTCTTATTGTTTCAAAATTAGGATGTTTATACTACATAAATTGCTAGATCACGGCATATCAACCTAAACCATTGAATCTTTAATCTAACCTAATTAATGTAATTCAGATTAATGTCCTATGAGATAAGTGATCTGTATTATAATAGATACATAATTTAAGTTAGCAAAGAGCTAATAAAGTTGTCTTAATAAGTGATGCATCGGTTTTGTAGCTACTACAAACCGTAAAAGAACTTGGAAGTTCGACGCAGGTAAAGCAGAGCAACTTCGAAGTTCGACATGGGTAATGCAGAGCTATTTCGATTTCGTCGTGGGTAATGCAGAGCTACTCCGATGATCAGCGACAGCAGAACCACTACGTGGTCCTGTATCAAGACAACGGTTGGTGAGTCGCATGCTTTTCTGTTCCTCTGGGCATGTTAATTCACTTTATTTATTCATCAATAATATTGAATTAAAATTTAATATATACCGTTAATACTTTTAAATACTCAAATTTCATGACCCTTTAGTTAGTAGCGCCTTTTAGTAGCAATATTGAGAACTATTTCCACTACAAACTTGAGCATTTTCCCACTGATAGCGCCAATGGTATTAAAACCAATATTAATATAGTTTCGTGATTGGCTTCTAGCAGGGAGCGGTCGCCGTTTAGTAGCGAACAAATTTGTAAACTCTCCCGCTCACGGAGCGGCTTAGCGAGCAGTGACCTTTTTGAATGCATTCAGTGAGTGGGTCCTCGAGTGCAAAAGTATAACCTACATTGTAAATGTTTATGTTATAACTAGTAGGTATTTAAAGGGCACTGCATTATACTAATTGAACGAATATTTGACGATACGATTACTGGCTATAAAAACAATGTTGTACTCAACGATATAGAACAAATCAAAGGATGGCAAAAAAGGGTTCAGGGACACTCGTAATAAGGGAATCAGACGTCAGAGCCACCAACCAACATGGATACATCACTATTTCTAAGTTTGAATTCACGTATTTGTAAGAATATCGTTCTGCTTCTATCGATCATTTTCTTCGATTAGAATAACAGTAAAGCGATGCCGAGATTATTGTGATCTGTTCGTTTCGATTAGTTGGTTTTATATCAGGTGCACCGAAAATGTTGATGGTCCTCGGAAGAGGTGTTTTGGGAGGTGATTTGAAACTTTTTCCTAAGGGAAAATGTTATCCGAGGCTTTTTTGAAGAGATAATAACGGAAAACATTGACCAATCAGAGCGCGAGGATGCCGATGGAGCGGCCGCGGTAGCGAAGGCTACGCGCTAAGCGGTCGCGTCAATGTCCTTCGATGCACGTCGAGTCACTTGTTCGCGTACAAGCGCGGCCATTTAGCTCGTAGCCTTCACTACCGCGGCCGCTGCAACCAGGCCCGGCGCAAGGCAGGTTCAACGCTGTTCACCGGAACCCGGGCCCGCGTTTTGAGGGGCGAAAATTTTGATTAACTTTTTACAGAATGATGATACCATTAACAGATGCAAGACATTTTTTTATTAGCGATGATTCAGTTTAAAGGAGTGACAAAAATCATCAAAGTATTATTATTTAATATTCATCTTATAAAAGATATGTAACAGCATTTGTAAATAAATAATTCCGCGTTGTAAAATTTAAGTGTAGGATTTGAATGTGAATTCAGGCCCCGCAACATTCTTGAACCCGGCTCCGCAAAAGATCACGCCGGCTCTGGCTCCAACGGTATACGCGCGCTCTGATTGGTCAGTGTTTTCCGTTAATATCTCCTCAACGAAGCCTCGGACAACATTTTCGCTAAGGAAAAAGTTGTTTCAAATCGCCTCCCGAATCACTTTGAATCACCTTTCAAGGTGTTACAACATTGTCTGGACACCGTGTATTTCAATTTTCGTATATCGGAATTCACGCGTACAGTGCTGCCACCATAGTGGGAGCGGTCTCCTACTATTACTTCGGTTCCTCCCACCAACGACCAATCCCACGGCTCGTTGAAAACCTTGCGGCTTTTCGTCGAGTCTGGTCATAGTGGGGTACGGTGTAGTTCCTTGCGTTTGTGCGGAAGTGAGATAGCAGCAAGGAAGAGCTCCCCACTAAGCCGGTCAGAAGCTCAGTCGCCTTTCACGAGCACGGTCGGTTGGGCGGCTCTGTGTCGTAGGTACAAATCGTAAATGTGAGCATCGTTCGTTTGATACATAAATTCCATTCGTATTCAAGGAGAGAGAGAGAGGTAGTTTATTGACTTGGCCGCGGGGACAGGATCTCTCGACGGATCGTCCTCAGATTCGTCGTGAGAGGGCCGGGAAGACAGTGCACACCGGTGACAGAACGCGTGGTTACTGTCAAACAGTGTACTCGTACGATTATCGAGATCCTCGTACATACGATTCGAGACATCTTGTTCGCGGTACTACGAATATCTGGATTGCGAGTAAAATCAGTGCGAGAGGACCCGTTTCCGTTTCGCTCACGTCGCGCTGTTGCCGGTGTTTACGCCTTTGAGCCGAAAATATTTACGCGCGCGAAACCATTTGTCGAAGAGAATCGGCGACGTTGATTGTAAAAAGAGTATCGTATTCGTGTTCGTGGCAAGAGTCAACGGTATGTCTTCCTTCTTGGCATAACTTCCCACACACCGTACACCTGGCTGGAGATTCCTCGAAGATGACGAGTAGACACGCGGAACGAGTTCCTGTTCGTGCACGGTAAGCCGTTTCTCTGTCTCGAGAATCTTTGCGTGACAATGCTTTTACCCGATCGAGCTGTTCGCCAAGTTATCACACCGGCGTGTTACGGTGAAAGGAAGATTCTTTCGTGTTACACGGTTTCGTGTCCAATTTACCACCGTCACGTTCTTCAGAAATATCTAAGCTCGTCGGTGCGACGAGAATACTTGCGCTTTTTAGATCATTTCACTGACTCCGGGCATCGTTTCCGATTATCGTCGATCCCGGGAAAACTAATCACACGTACGGAGCGTGTACGTGGTTCGAGCACTAGTTGCTTCAACGTTCGAGGGTCAACGAACACCATTGACGTCTGGTTTTGACATTTTCGTGACTGGTCGCTTCCGAATATTAAGCACGGCAGATTCGATCGTCGCACGTGACCACAATCTTTTCACGGGTGCAATTAACGTTTTGGAGTATGGTTGATTTTGTCTGTTTCTTTTCAATCGCGTTACGTTGGAGAAAACTGTTTAACTTCTTCGATGATTAATTATCACGTAATTTTAATCTTTTGCGAAATTTGTTTAATTTGGAGAACCCTTTGCACTCCGATATTTATTTCTAGAGACATACGGTCTACTACTCTCCTATTCATTCGTACCGTGTTATGTAAGAATCGCTATATACGAAATTCAGAATTAGTACAAAATACATGTAAGGATATTTATTTCGAGGTTCGGCGTAAAACTTGTCGAACTTTAAAGGCAACAGACAACATATCATAGACAAAATCAAATCGCAATACAAAATACAAAATTAATGAATAATCAATAAATTACTAACACAAACATAACCGACAACTGTAAAACGTATAAACATATCTGGTAGTTTTAAATATTAACATTCATCGACATTCACATTATAATACGTTACAATTAATATTCATTCAACATTCACATTACAACATATTACATACAGTAATTAGTATCGCGTTATAAGAAATTTGAATTAGTACAATATAGAATAATTCGTAGCGTGTTATATGGAAACCGCGTTATTATAGTGTTATTAGAAGTATTTCAACGTATCTGAAAGGATTTTAAAAAATTTTGAAAATTCTCGGTTTTACAGCTGTTCAATGTTTTGCGCTCTTTTCTTTAAAGAAATTGTAATAATTGAACTAGTAAACAAATAAGAATGAGATTTCGAGAGATAACAATGATGACATAGAAGTAGAAGTGAAAAAACGTGTTTAATCGTTCGAGATACAATATATCCATATGAACCATATAAGACTACAACAAATCCAAATTTCATCAAAATTCAAGATACTGCTCCAAAAAGTGTCTAAATCCGCGTGAAATCTATGATAAATTAACAAGAAATGTTTTCGGAGTATCCGCCTCCGATTTTTTTTTGAAATTTTGCATACGTATAGAAGTACAAAACGTTCTATTCTACTGTTAATATAATTAATGTTATAATATTGTGTTGTTATTACGGATTGTATGAATAATGTTCTCGTCGACAGTTACTCTTATGATAATATTTCGTTTGTAGTTGATTGTCGTAACAATAGTTTCATTTGTTGTTTCATCGATTAATAAATACAAAAAATTAAAAAAATGACGCACTCGATATCTGAAATCCGCTTTTTTTTCATGTGATTCAGCATCGTTCGTAGTTGATTGTAGCGATTTTCCTTTCGTTTCTAGTTAAATAGTTTAAAAGTTACAGGTGATCGTTTACACGCATTATCCAACGTCAAACGCAAACAATGCTGAATCACATGAAAAAAAACGGATTTTAA